TTCCTCCATGGCCTGTGCTCCAGCTCCTGCCTCCAAGTTCCTGCCCTGAGTTCCTACCTTGGGCTCCCTGATGAACTGCGTGTGACCTGGGAGATGTAAGACAAATAAACCCTTTCCTCCCCAAGTTGGTAGTGGTCAGAGTGTTTTGTCACAGCAATGAAGAACAAACTATGACACTAGTTCCTTGGCATTACATTTGAAGTCATGGCCTACAGCTGAAAACCCTGTGGGAGTTGGGACTGCTCACTGCTGGTCTGTTTCACTTAGATAAAACAGCTCAGAGTGGCGGGTCCATCATGCCTTTTTAGGCTGATAGCTTTCTTGATATGACTTAGGCCATCTTTAATTTTATTTATTCATTTATTTTTTATTATTTTTATTTTGTGTGTATGAGTGTATTCTCTGCATGTATGTACGAGCACCCATGCCGTGCAATGCCCACAGAGGACAGAAGAAGCCATCAGATCCCTTGAAACTGGAGTTATGGACAGTTGTTAGCTGCCATGTGGGTGCTGGGATTCGAACCTCGGTCTTCTGCAAGAACAGCTAGTGCTCTTAACCACTACGCTATCTCTCCAGCCCCAAGATTTATTTATTTTATTTATTTTTATTTTATGTGTATGATTGTTTTGCTTGCATGTATGTAAGTACACCATGTGCATGTAATGCCAGTAGAGGACAGAGAGGGCATGAGATACCCTGGAACTGGAATTACAGACAGCTGTTGGTCAGACTTAGGTCACCTTAACATTCACTTTTTTTAAAAAAAATTTTTTTTTATTATTTTATGTGTGTGAGTGCATCATGCAATGCTGGCAGAGGTCATTAGAAGGCGTCGGATTCCCTGGAACTAGAGTTACAGGAAGTTGTTAACCATCCTGCGGGTGCTGGGAATCGAACCTGGGTCCTCTACAAGAGCAGCCAGTGCTCTTAACTGCTGAGCCATCTCTCCAGTCCCAACATTTACTTTTCTACTCAAGGTCCATCATCAGGGACATTCTTCATCCTTGTCAACTTGAATCAACCCTATCTCTCTCCCAGTCATTCAGGCCTTTGTTTTGTTGATCCAGATCCTGGGTCAGGGAAATCACCATGTATAAAGGGCAAAGCAACACTTACGCCAAGGTTTTGTGGTAGTCCACAGTGCTGGTCACGCCAAGGAATTTCTGCACTGTGTCCATCACTTTGGCAGGTTCTGTTCGAAGCAGTTTGCCATCCAAGACAAGGATCTGAAGAGTAAAGGGAGAAAGGCTATCTGGACCTGCTTCCTCACCTGGCAAACAGTCTACTCACTGTAGCAGGAATGGCTTAGGTTCAGGCATGGGGCTGTGAGCCTCCAGAGTTCACCCCCTACTCCTTACCTTTCACCTTTCAGGCACAGGGATCTCAGACCAACTCCCTGCCCTCTGACAGCTCCCCTAACCCTCATCACCCTCTCCCAGAATTTAAGCTATCAACAAAGCCCACCCTGTACCTCCCAACCCAGAGCACTCCTCTTGCAGATTCTTGCCAAGCTTCTAGCCCATTCTGTTCTGCTCCAGTCTCCAAGGCTTCACTAAAAGACATTCTGTAATCTAGCCCTGTCACTGCACAAACCAAGCCTCCCCTCTAATCACCACACTCTGGTTGTTCCTCCTCTTCCTCCTCCTCCTCCCCCCTCTCCTCGTTTGGCCCCACAGGGCTTTCCAAGTTCTCTTAAACTAAAGTCACTCCTTGCCCCAAGAGGCAGGGAAAGATGGCTACCTGGTTGGCATGAAAGGCGCTCAGCCAGCGCTCGATATGTGTGGCATACCAGCCAGGGACCAGGCAACGGTTCTGGAGGGCACGCAGCTTTAAGGATGCATCGGGGCCAGCTGTGATCACTTCGTGGAAGGTGTACTTCAGGGCTACTGGGTCGTCATGGGCTCGCTGGTGCTGCGGGCAGGAGGGAAAGGTGAGTCATCACAAGTCGAACAGAAGCATGTGGGGTGTCTGGGAGAGCCTGTGCTGACATCCTGGCTCTGCTTCTCACTGATTCAGCCTCAGGGAGTCACTGGCTCCAGAGGCCCAGGTTTCCATCTTTGAAAGGTGGGGGGTAGACTATGCCAGGTTCCCAAAGTTCATCATTGACAATTTCTGAGACCCCTGCCATAGTGCACAGCAGTAAGTGTCAGTGCTGCTTTCCTTGCACTGACTCACCTTTCCTTTTTCAGTTTTTGTTTTTTTTTTTAAACAGAGTCTCATATAGCCCAGGCTGGCTTGAACTCCCTGTGCAGCTGAGGATAGCTTTGTGACCTCTACTTCTGAGTGCTGAGATTACAGGCATGCATCACCACATCTGGTTTTGTGTAGTGCTAGAGATCAACCCAGGGCCTTGTGCATGCTAGGCAAGCATTCCAACAAGTGAGCTGCAGCCCCAGTCCTCGTTTTCCTTTTCATATTAGTTTACTATAAAAACAAAACCAAAAACCAAAAAACCTTCAATATCGCCTCATCTCCATAAATGGAAAACTAGAATCAAATGTTACATACAGAAAACAGCCACAGGACTAGAAGATGGCTCAGCAGTTAAGAGCACTGACTACTCTTGCAGAGGAACTAGGTTTGATTCCCAGCACATACACAGCAACAAACCACCATCTGTAACTCCAGTTCCAGGGGGCTGATGCCTTCTTCTGACCTTCTTGGGCATTGCATGACATGGGTGCACTTACATATAGGCAATACACTCATAAACCCAAAATAAAAATAATAAATATTGAAAAAAGAAAACAGCCACTGACAAAATTAAAACATAACAATGTTCTCAAATGCCAACCAGATGGGAACATCTGCTCCAAGTCCTACATCTAAAGCTTCCCTGGTCGTTGCTGAAACAGAGCATGACCTGTTGAAAGGTCATGGGAGCCTCTTACACCAAATGGCACATTCTCCTTTATGGACAGCAGAAGGATTCAGAAAAACCATAGAAGGCCAGGTTTGACCCACCTAAAGCTGTGCTATGAGCCATTGTAGATCTCAGAGGCCAGGGAACTGCCTAGCAGGAGATACTCCCCCAAGTGACCCTGCAGATCAAGTTCACACACAACCCAAGGCAGGGCGGGAGAGGCTATAATGCATACAACCGCTGCCTGCTCCTCCTGACTTCCTTGACTTCCCTGGGACAGACTAGTTCCCTTCCTCTCCTCCCAGAACTTTCTTGCATTCTTCTAGAAAGAAGCGGCCTCCTTTCTCCTTATGTCCTCCATTCTCCTAATCATGGACAGGAAATACAGGAAGACTTTAGGATTATAAGACCTAGATTCAAAATGCCACCTGTGAAGATTACTCTTGGTTGTCAACTTGACTAGATCTGGAATCAACTTAAAAGGTGTCCTGGTTTGTTTCTTCATTGCTGTGACAAAACACTCTGACCACCACCAACTTGGGGAGGAAAGGGCTTATTCAGCTTACATCTCCCAGGTCATAGTTCATCAGGGAGCCCAAGGTAGGAACTCAGGGCAGGAACCTAGAAGCAGGAGCTGGAGCACAGGCCATGGAGGAATGCTGCTTACTGGCTTACTCCCCTGCCTCTGCTCAGCCTGCTTTCTTATGCAACACAGGCCCACCTGCCCGGGATGGCACCACCCACAGTGGGCTGGGCCCTCCCACATCACTCATCAAGAAGATGCCCCTCAGACATGGCCACAGGCCAGTCCAATAGAGAGGCAATTCCCCAACTGAGGCTCCCTCAACCCAGGTGTGTCAAGTTGACACTAAAGCTACCTAGCACAAAAGGCAAGCCTGTGAGGGATTTTTCTTGATCTGAAGTAGGAAGACCCACCCTAAATGTGGGCAGCACCTTCTGGTGGCAGCCCAGATAAAAGGAGGCTGAAGAAAGAAGCCTGCCTTTGCCTGTCTGCCATTAGTCTCGCTGGCAAGGTCATCTACCCTGTTGCCGCTGCAGCTACTGTTACTGCATTCCTTCACTTACATCAGAACTAAATTTCTTTGGGCTTCCAAATGTAATCTGAAGACTAGCAGCTCCTCGGGAATACTCCAGGCCTTCAGTGTCAGATTGGGCCTGCTGAAACAGTCAGCCTCATGACTGAACAACTTCTGGGTTCTCAAGTCTCTCTGGCATAAGACAGTCATTGTTAAGACTACCCAGATCACATTGTGGAAACCAATCCAATAAATCCCCTTTTGATATGTATTCACTGTATTGGTTTCTGTTCTTCTAGAGCACCCTGATACACTACCACATGAAACCTGCTGAACCCTGGCTTTCTTTTCTGTGTGAAGGGGACATGCTCATACACCTTCCTCTGCATTCTTGAAAAGGGAGGTAGCAGGGCTGGAGAGATGGCACAGCAGTTAAAAGCACTGGCTGCTCTTGCAGGAGATCTGGGTTGAATCCCAGCACCCACATGGCAGCTAACTGTCTGTAACTCCAGTTCCAGGGGATCTGATGCCCTCAAATACATGCAGGCATGACACTCATAGACATAAATTTTTAAAGTTTAAAAAAAGAAATTAAAAAGAAAAGGGAGGTAGCAGAAGTTAAGTCTTGTCATGAGGACCAAAAAGGGAACTGACGGGACCCATGAGAGCTTACTCGATGGCCCTACATGTCCCTACAGGGAAGCAGCCTCCGATCTTCAGTGTTTTGCTGCAAGCAGGTGACTGCACAGAATGCCTGTTGCATTCTGGGTTTCCCAGAAAGACAGAGGCCACGGGAAAGGTGGGTAACAGAGCATAAACCATGGTCCCGGGGGACAAGAGGCAGAGAGGAGCTCCCCGTACCTCTAGCTCAAGGAGAGATAGACAAATGAGAGTTCTGAGGGATGAAGAGCAAAGAGGAGCCCTGTGTACTATACGGGACACAGCGAGGCCCCAGGAAGCAGTCACTACAGCATTAAGTAAGGAGGCTCTGAGAGTAGCAGAGAGCCACCAATAGTGGCCAGGCCAGAAGAGGCCTTCCTGGCTAGAGTACTGGGCACCCCCCAGGTAACCACAGGCCAAGACCCAGGTGGCCCACAGCACAAAGGTCAGACCCAGTCTGCTGACTTAATGAAAGTGGCCAGGAAGTCAGTCTCAGGCATGAGAGCCACTGCTTGATCACAATGCTCGGCAGTGTGGCATACTCCAAGAAAGAGAGGCAGACAAGTGAGGGGGGCCTCTTCCCAGTCAGACTGAGAAGCGTTCCCACACGTCTTGTCCCAGGACTACACACAGAAGAAACTGTCAGGGCATAGAAATGCAAGCTCTGGCTCACACACCTGAAATGAAAATCAGGATGCATATTTCTAGAAATCATGTTACAGGCCAGGTGGCAGCTGTCTTCCTAGATCCCCCTAGAGCAGTCCATTATTCCCTGAGTTCCCACTCCTAGTTACCCATAATGGGTGGGCAGCTATAGTTGTCATGAGCCAGAGTGCTGACCATGGACTCTAGGCTGTGTTCAAGTCTACTCAGCCACTGCCTCTTGTGGCTGTCAGAGTCCCAGGAAGGACTCATGAACCTGGAGGTAGGCAGGGAGCTTGTGGCATTCAATATCAATTCTGTCTGTCACCACCAACAGGCCTGGATTGTCTAGAAGAGGCAAGATTATTCTCACCCATGTCCCACAGGGAGCAGGGCCCAGAGCTGCACATGCTTGTCCTCGTTCAATGTGGACTGAGTGAATATTACACAGAGCCCACACTCTACCCAGGGACTTAGCCCCAGCCCACTCACCTGGTACCAGGAGTAGGCCCGGTCAGCCGGGTTGATGAGGATGGTGAGGATTTTGGCCTTAGGCAGCAGGGCTGCTGCTCGCCGTGGTGCCACTTCTGAATCAAAGTAGTTGGCGCTTTTCTCAAAGTAGAAGTCGGAGGTGGTATTGGAGGGGATAGGGAAGAACTCCATGTACCTGCAGGAAACCCAGAGGCAGGGCTCAAGGCCAAATCTCCTAAGCAAGAGGCCCCAGGAATGCAGTGTAACTGGGTGAGGGTCTCTAGGGATGGAACTTCCTCAGAAAGCAAGCAGAGCACATTGTCCCCAATAAGCCAGGAGCTGCCTCTGGCAGGGATGTAAGGGAGAATGGTCACTTAGCACTCTCCTATTCAAATTCATTCCTTTTTAATTTTTTGGAGGTATTTGTTTGTTTGTTTGAGACAGGGTCTCCCTGTAGCCCCAGCAGGCCTAGAACTTGCTATGTAGACCAGGTTGGCCTCAGTTTCACCACTTCTGCTTCTGGAGTGCTGGGATGATAGGCACCATGCCTGGCTATTTTATTATTATTACTATTATTATTATTATTATTTTGGTCTTTTTGAGACAAGGTCTCCCTGTAGCCCTAGCTGGGCTGGATTCGCTATGGAGACCAGGCTGGCCTTGAACTCACAGAGATCCACCTGCCTCTGCCTCCCTCATGCTGGGATTAAAGGCGTGCGCCACCACACCCGCCTTTTTATTATTTTTTAAATTATGTGTGTGTCTATACGTGGGTATGCACCTGTGGAGGTCAGAATGTCTGATCCCCCTGGAGTTACAAGCAGGAGTGAGCTGCCTGACATGGGCACTAGGAACTGAACTCGGGTCCTCTGCAAAAGTAGTATGCACTCTTAGCTGTAGAGCTGTCTCTCAAATTCATTCCTTTTTGGTAGCTATCACAGGGTCGGGAGACTGGAAATTCTCAGGAGTGTGCTGTGGGTTGTAGGACCTGGGGGTGAAGGGGACTGTGTTATTCCCACAGCTAACCTGCCATCACTGATCTTTCTGCCTCTGGGGTGACCTGGGCTCAGAGCAATGCCCATTCAAGGAGGAGCAGCCCAGGGGGAGGGATGCCCTCTGCCACCCCCAGGCCTGGGATGGTGCTCTCCAATCTGCCACTCTACACCTGGAAAAAGGAGGAAGGGCACTTCCTACTGCTCATACCCCTCTCCCCAGCCTGCTGCGGGTGAACACAGCTTTCCATCTAATGACCTACCTCCTGTCAAAAGTCCAGATCCTCTTAGGGACACCAAAAAAGAAGCAAATACACCCTATTAAAAGTACAGAGTCCTGGGGCTGGAGAGATGGCTCAGTGGTTAAGAGCACACACTGACCTCTGTGGGCATTGCACAACATGGGTGCATCTATCCACAGGCAGGCAATATACTCATACACATAAAATAAAACAAACAAACAAAAAAAAGGTACAGTCTTGACTGCTGTGAAAACAATTTCTTCAGTGATCCCAAGGACCTTTTAACAGAATCTTCTTAAGCTTGTCAGACTCCTGCACCCCACCTACAACCTACCTACAAAACCAAAGTCTTGGGAATGGGGCCAAGGAATCAACCTCTCCCATTTTTTTTACCAACTTTCTTCATTTGTAATACCTCCCCCAAGAAAGCTCAGAAAACAAAAGCCTTGTTTCCTAAGCTTGGAGAATTCCAGCAACACCCAACTCCTTAGCCTTTCTGATGGTTAAGTGTTCACACACTGATGACCCACTACCCACCTGTGAGTGTGCTGCTGGGTGCTTCATGCCCCTGACAGGGTGAAGAGGGCAGGGTGGGGGGTGGGGTAGATTGCTATATGGACAGCTCCACCTTTTTCTAAAATCCCAAACACACTGGCTTGCAATGATGTATTTGGCCACAAGGGGCTTCAGGTAAGAAACTGGACATGTTAGAACTACAGACTGAAGGACTGATAAACAGAAAGATGACATACTAGCCGATCAGAGAAAAAAGTGCATAAAAATAGCAAAAGACCAAACACAGAAGGTCTGTAATCCCTCCATCCTGGGAACCCACTAATTAATAATAAGAAAGAGCAGGGCATGCACAGACAAAGCTTAGAAAGACAAGAGCAGTGAAAGTTCAAACTGAAAAACCAGGGAGTGAAGCTGGCCTGTGCTGGCCCCTAGAAGGTGACCTCTGAGGAAGGTTCCAGTGGGAAGTATGAAGCCCACAAGAACCCTCTCCCTGCATTAGGCGTGGCCACAAGCCAGCTTAGACACCTGGATTTTCTTCCTGCGGCCACCAGCAGACTTGCACCTGGGCACTTGGATGCACCCCGCCCTCCCTGAGGACGCTGTTTCTGTACTGTCAGGGAGAGGCTGAGTGCCACTTCAGCTATCTCTGACCCTGGGCCAGACTGCAGAAGGGCAAAGGGCTTCCTCATCCAGTGTCCTGTTTGAGACAACAATGTCATATCATGACTCAAGGGTCACTGCGCCTCGTCCCGTCCCTGTTTACAGGAACTTGAGTTGCATGTGAGCAAGAACCAGCTGCTTCCTACTGTGGCCACACAGCCCTCCCCAGTCAGTTCCATAATGGTCTTCCTGTCCTGCTGTAAACAGAAGGCCACTCACCAGTCAATGCCTTTGTGATAGTTGTGGCCATTAAAAAACTGGATCTCCTCAAAGGTCTCAGAGCTGGGGTAGTTGCTGCTGAGGTCTGGGTGCATACCCAGGAACAAGTAAAGGGCTGTGGTGCCTGTGAGAGGGGAGGCAGATGAGACACTGGTCAGCCAACAAGAAGAAAGAGTCTACATTCTGGGCCTGTCTCTCCAGTATTCACTGTAAGGTCTTGGGAAAGTCCCTTCTCTTCTCAGAGTCTTAGTTCCCTCATCAATAAAGATCGTACTAAATCCAAAATGGCACATATAGAGCATACATGCAGATATCCACTCTAGTTCCTACATCCTTGCAGACATCACTAATCTATTATGGCATTTGTCACCACTATACAAGGACGTGATCTCAGAATCTTTCCCATCACTGAACTCCAACCCCAGTTAACTGCTGTCTCCTCAGTCTTGAACTAGATGCTTCCTGATGTTTTCCAGTTCTGGGGCTTTATCCACATAGGCACTTGGGAACAGCCCAAGGAAAAAGAATCGCTCACCCTCTAGGCCTGTTAATGGAAAATTTCTTTCTCTTTGCTTTCTTTTTTAATGTTTGATTGATTGATTGATTGATGGATGGATGGATGGATTGATTGATTGATTGATTGATTGACTGATTGGATTGATTGATTTGGTCTTTTTGAGACAGGGTCTCCCTGTAGCCCCAGCTGTCCTGGAACTCACTATGTAGAGTGTTATGCCTGCATGTACATAAGTGCATCCATGTTGTACAATGTCCAGGGAGGCCAGAAGAGGGCGCTGGACCCCCTGGAACTGGAGTTATGTATGGCTGTTAGCTGCCATGTGGATGCTGGGAATCGGGTCCTCTGCAAGAGCAGCCAGTGCTCTTAACTGCTGAACCATCTCTCTAGCCCCCATTTTGTTTGTTAGCTTTGTTATCTCACAGGGTCTTATGTTACTGTGCTGGATAGCTTTAGTGTCAACTTGACATACTTGGATAGAGGGAGCCTCAACTAAGGAATTTCCTCCATTGGACTGGCCTGTGGCCACATCTGTGGAGCATCTTCTTGACTGTTGACTGATGTGGGAGGGCCCAGCCCACTGTGGGTGGTGCCATCCCTGGGCAGGTGGGCCTATGTTGTATAAAGCAGGCTGAGCATGGGTCAGGGGAGCAAGCCAGTGGGTAGCATTCCTCCATGGCCTGTGCTCCAGCTCCTGTCTCCAGGTTCCTGCCCTGAGTTCCTACCTTGGGCTCCCTGATGAACTGCAACCTGGGAGATGTAAGCTGAATAAACCCTTTCCTCCTCATGTTGATAGTGGTCAGAGTGTTTTGTCACAGCCATGGAGAATCAAACTACAATTACCCAGGCTGATCCTGAACTCATCATCTTTCCTGCCTCTGCTTTTGGAGTGCTGGGATTTACAGGTATTTGCCACCATGCCTAGGCAATATGAAGCTCCTCAAAAGCCAGGAGCCCCACTCTGACACCCCCTGCTGGTGCCTCCTCTCATGCTCCTGCCATTCTCCTCCTCAGAAGGATCTTTCATTCACTCCCTGGGTGCTCTCTATGTAACCAACACATCCAGAAGAGAGGCTGGAGGGTTTGGTGATGATTAATATAAGCCTCAGGACCACAGAGATCAGGTCACAAGACCTGAAATGGTCGTATCTGAGCCATGTGTTATAGGAAGTCACTTAACTTCCATGAGTCTTGTGCTCTACCTATAAAAAGGCCTATCTGTGCCTAAGAGAACTGAGTGGATGGCAAATGCTTAGCAATCATGTCAGTACTTCTGTCTTTGTACCTCTGACAGACAAGACTGATCACCTTCCTCCACACACTGACCCAGTTTTGCCTGCCATTGCTCAAATTTGCAGAGCAGCTGATCAGGGCTTCCTTCCTGCCTCATCTCGGAGTCTTGAAGGACAACAGGGCAGGCACAAATAGAATGCTGTATCTCCTTCTGCCTCCTACCCCAATACTGATAGGCAATTCATGCCTGTCCTCCATGCTGCTCCCATTTTTAGGGAAAGAGGTGATAGAATATTTAACAGTGAGACCTGGGTAAGGTGGTCTCCAGAATTCTGTGGCTGAGCCAGCAGGCAGTGGGGGACTGGGTCAAGAGTCAAGAGACCTGCCTGTTTTCTGGGGGCCAATGATGAGAAGCTTTGGGAAGCGGTCACATGTCTTCTCCTTGGACCAGATGTCTTTGTGGCGTTTGTCCTCACAGGGATCCTAAAACAGCAATGGAAAGGGTATGAGAGGAGGCTCAGGCTCCATGAATGAACTTCCTCCATAGGTGTTTATGTGGCTCTTAAAAGCCCTGACCAACAGGCCTAAACACACAGGTACCCTTGTCACATCCTCACCTCCTGACACCACTCTGCAACAGATAGGGACAATTTCTGGTAACGTCATGTCCCCACAGAATCTGGCAAATGAAGAGCTGTGTGCTCAGTGCTAACAGGAACTCGTGAGCATTTGTTGACTTTAACTGGCCTAGAATGTCTGAACGCAGGCTCAGTAAACTTTCCTTATGTAGCCTCTTGGGAAATGTTTAGTAAATACCGTAGGCTTCCCATGCACTCTGTTCTCTGCTGCAGTGGCACAAAAGCAGCACAGACAGACTCACGAGGAGCATGGCTAGGTACCAACAAAACTTGTTTACAAAGACAGACCACAGGCCAGATTTGGCCCTGGAGTGAGTGTACGGATCCCTGGTCAGAGTTCAGCTTTTGCTTCTAGTCTTCAGGAGCCTTCAAGGGTAGACTTTTCCAGACTGCATTAAGCCTTTTCCTTAGCCCTTCCCCAGGGACTCAGAGCCTGCTGTAGTTAAAGGGCAAAGGAGATGGCATGAGTGTCCACCCAGGCAGGGGAGCCACTCTATACTTCTCACAAAGACACACCCATTTTTTAAGGCTCTTATCCCAAGGCTGTGTATGAGTGTGCATGTACACAGGTCTGAGGGCAGGGGGAGGGGGGCATGTACAGTATGTACATTGCACATATGTGTGCTCAGAAGTGTGCACACTGGTGAGAGTGAAGTGTGCAGACTGAGCCTTGAGCCCATGTCCTGGGACACATGCCTGACAGAACAGAGGGCACACTGACGCTAAGACAAGGCACCTTGCTGCTCGGCCCACCTGCCAAAGTGGGTCCTTCTCCTCGGAGAAGATCTGGAAGTACTTCTGGGCCAGCTGCACAGGGGGCAGAGTCTGCAGCCTCAGGTTGGTCCACGAGTGCAGGAAGCGCACCAGGTGCTTGAAGGTGTATAGCCCCAGGCGGTCATTCCCATAGTTGGACAAGTGTGTCATGAAGATGCTGATCTGCTCCAGGAAAGGAGAGGGAGGCAGCTCCAGGTCAGTTTTTGAGCCACCCTCACCCCCACCTCTGACTCCTCCAGCCACTGATAACTGCTGCAAAGTACACTGAGGTTATCAACAAACTATGTGACCTTGGGCTGGATTCAACCAGGGAAAACTGAGGTCTAACTGACAGCTAACATTACAGGTTTAGGGTGGGAAGCTAGAATAAGGCAGGAGCTATTTGCTTTTTGTTTTATAAATCTAGAAAGGGGCAGTGCAAAGATTGCTCAGTTTAAAATGTTGAATTATAGGCCGGGCATGGTAGCACACGCCTTTAATCCCAGCACTTGGGAGGCAGAGAGAGGCGGATCTCAGTGAGTTTGAGGCCAGCCTGGTCTATCTACATAGTGAGTTCCAGCCCAGCTGGGTGGGGCTACAGGAAGACCCTGTCCCAAAAAGACCAAAAACAAAACAAAACAAAACAAAACACCAAAACAACAATAAAATGTTGAATAATAATAACCACACACTGCTTATTTCATATTGTCAAAGTATGGATAATTGGTTCCATTTTACAGGTTGGGAAAGAGAGGTCAGAAAGCTCAAGTGAAGTTTGTGTGTGTGTGTATATGGGTGTGCGCATGTGTGTATGTGTGTGTGCATGCATAAGCGCAAAGACTAGAAGGAAAACATGCACAAAAAGTGCTAACACCTCCATATCAAAGTGCACAATCACCAGAGAAAATGGGAATGCCTGGAAGCTATCTTGGGCCACACAGCAGGAGGGCCAGTGCCAGTCCTCAGCCTTCACGCCAGCCTCTCTACCCTTCCCCAGCCCGAGAAGCATCCTTGGTTACAGACAGGCTGTCAGTGCCCCTCCCTCATACCAGCCTTGGGCAGTAGAGCACTCACAGGATTGAGGAGCACAGTGAGGAAGAGCTCGCCCCCGTTGATGATCTTGTCCAGCTCACTGGAGCCACCAGGGTACTCGTTGTAGAAGATGGTGTGTGTGAAAAGGCCGCAAGTCTGCCTAGGGAGGACCTGGGGGGAGGTGGAAGAGGAGCCATGGTATCTCCAGCCAGTCAGAAGAGGAAGAGTGCTGAGTTCACGCGAAGGGCTAGGGTCTCCTCAGAAAGACACTCCATGTGAGGCCCCCACCCCAGAGTCTTTGTTCCCAAAGGCACTACAGCCCACAGTGTTCCCTGAGTGAGCCACAGCCCTTACCATTTATACTTCACTGTTGTTCGCTGCACAAAATAAATGGGTCCCAAGGCAGTGTGAGATTTTCTAGAAATCTGGACAATTTTCAATGAGGGTCCTTGAACTTCTAACACAGTTCTGTAAATCATGTCAGAGCCTTGCCTGGGTACACTGGAGGGGTGCCCCCACCTGAAGCCCACCCACTTCTTGTGGTCATGAACTGATATAGCCATCTACTATCTGTCTTCCCTCTGGAAACTGGGTTCTAAGAGTGGGAAACAGGCTGGTCTCACAGCCACCTCATGCCCAAAGTTAGCATGAATCCCAGGACCAGCCTGGGCTATGAGACCTTGTCTCAAAAACTAATTAACTAATTAAACAGGGGTGGGGTGGCAGCAAGATGGCTCAGTGGTTAAGGCCACCAATACTGACAACCATAGACCAATCCCCAGAATCCACATGGTGGAGGGAGAAAACTGACTCCCGCAGGTTGTCTCTGACCTATACTCACATGTGCTCAACACACACACACTCACACACACACACACAAATAAACAAATAAATAAAAGTAAAGAAAAATGTTTAAAAATCCCAGGTATGGAAGACGCAAGTAGGTGAGTGGGTGGGTGGGTGGATGGGTGGATGGATGGATGGACGGATGGACGGACGGACGGACGCACAGAAAAACGCACAAAACTTTTCTTCCCACAGCTGCCCATCTCATCTGGTGACAATGCACCCTTCCAGTGTCCCGGGCTATAAAGTTGACCCCTCTTTTTCCTAAACCCTACATTCAACTCATCTCTAGCTTCTAAGTCCAGCAGATGAGCACATCTAACCTTGCACCATGACCAAGTTACCACCACCTCTGGAGATTTGCACTGGCCTCCTCTCTGGTCTGCCTGCTTCCATTTTTGTACCCCCCACAGGCAGAATGAGTCAATATGGGTCAAATCATGTTCCATTCAAATCCTTGCCATCTCTGCCTAAAACTGAAGTCTGTCAATGGCCAGCCTTCCCTGGACCTACACTACCTGGCCCATCGTCTCTCTAACATCCTCCACCATCTGCCCCTATTTGGTCTTCAGCGTACCCTGCATAAACCTGCCCAGGGGCCTTTGCAACTACTGCTTTCTCAGCCTTGAATGCTCTTTTATACACAACTACATGGCTCATCCTAGGAAGATCCTCCTTAACTGCACCCCTTCCTTCCTTGGCTCCCTCCAGAGCACTCTTGTCATCTTCCATTGTAGTTTGCACACTCATGACCATACTGTCTCCTGCCACAGAATGTCAGGTCCACAGGGCCAGGGACTTGTCTGGGTTTTATGCATTTCTCTATTCCCCAGTCCCTAGAAAGGGCACAGGCACATAGCAGAAGTTCCAGAGGAGTGTTCAAACATACAAATGAGTGTGACAAGCCCTGTCCCACATCCTCAGACCCCCTATAAAGGATGTTCTTCTGACCTGTGGAGAAACTAAGAAGGAGCCAGACTGGCAGCCCACCTGCCCCACAATGGAGCCTCTCAGGCCAAAGTGGCAGCAGAAACCAGTCTGAAGCCCTAAGCCATGCCCCCAAGGTGCTGTCCAGTTCTATAAAGGCAAACACCCACCGGGCATGGTAGCACACACCTTTAATCCCAGCACTCGGGAGGCAAAGGCAGGCAGATCTCTGAGTTCAAGGCCAGCCTGGTCTACATAGTGAGTTCCAGGACAGCTGGGGCTATAGGGAGACCCTGTCTCAAAAAGACCAAAATAAACAAACAAACAAACAAATAAATAAAGGCACATACCCACCTCACCCATGCTACTTACCATGATGCCATTGTGGATGAAGCCACGGCGGTAGCGGGCAGGCTTCAGGTGGGGGTACTCCTCTGTGCTGGTCACACGGATGTCCCACACCTGCTTCCAGGCCTCATACAGCTGCACATGCACAGGGTACACACCCGAGTGGTGGGGTGCCACTGCATACCCCATGTCTGTGGGAATGCCGTGCTCCTGGGGAGAGGACAACCAGGGCAGGATGAGATGGAGACCTTTCCCTTGGGGCCTTGTTCTCTTTTTGTAGAGTAGAACATGAGACAAAAACAAGAGGCTAGAACGGCAGAACACTTGTCTAAGCCCATTAGTGCAGGTGGGAAAACAGGCCTGGGACAGAAAGGGAAGGACTCAGAATCTCAAAGCAACTGGCAGAACTGAGCCTGGAACTCAGGTCTCCTGACTGCCATCCAGTGCATATAGTCCAACATCCAGCTCAGAGGACTCAGTTCTCCACAGTGAGGGGACAGGGCAGGCAGGGATCTTCCCGCTGTCTTCTGACTCTATCTGACTAGCTTGCCCAGGTTAGTCTTTCGACTACCTGTCTCCTTTCCTGAGCACCTCTACCTCTCCCCAAAGCCTCTGTGGTGGTGAGTTTGGGTATAGGAAACGAAAAGGTCTCAGTAGAGTCCTGAGTTAACCTCCCTGAGCCGCAGTTTCTTTTCTTTTTGTTTGTTTGTGTTTTTGTGGTTCTTTAGTTTGTTTCTGTTTTTGTCTCATGTAGTCCAGGCTGGCCTCAAATTCGCTATATAGTGAGACTGTCCTCCTGTCCTTGCCTCCCAAGTGCTGGGATTTCAGGCATGCACCACCAGACTCAGTGAACCTGTTTCTTGTGGGGCTGCTCTCTTGAGGCTTCCAGAGACAGAGGCTATCCAAGCAGTTCACCATGGGTGCTAGCACAGAAACAGCATAAAAATCTGTCAGACTGAACTGCAACAGCAGTGAGAGGCCAGCAGTCCATGCCCTAGCCCAGCCCTTAGCCCCCCAGCTCTGCCCCATAGGCAATCTTACTCACGACAGCGAACTTCTTGTTCAGGGCCATCTGCTCAGCCAGCACAGACTGGTTGTGGAAGAGGTGGGGCTGCATGTGGCTCCACATGTGGGGGAACCACCAGAACTCCTTCACGTAGGACAGCAGTAGGTCATCTCCAGCATCTTCAGCATCAGTACCTGCGGCCCGGGTGCAGAGTACTCAGCACAGCTGTCTGGCCACATGGCCTTCCAACCAGGCCCCCACCTTTGGGATGGGGTTCGAGGCCACAGCCCACCCAGGAGCTAATGGAAGAGTCATCTGAGTTTTCATGAAGGGAAGAGAGAGTCCAGCCTGGACTGTCCTTGCCTCAGGAAGCAGCCTGGGCCAAACCATCTCCTCTGTTGGGCCCTTGGCGTTTGAAGTCAACAATCCCTAGTGTTTGTTCTACCTCTTACATGTCTCATCTTAGTCTAGTGATCCAAACTGGGCTATCCGGCCTCTACCCACGGACCTGCAGATGCCCTGGGTAGATATAAGACGCTTAACCCTCTGCCTCATAGGTACTACTACAGGCACCTCTGATCTGCTAAGGGCTAAGAACATAAAATGCAGTTGTACTTCCAAGTAGCTCTGGGTCATCTTGCACATTCTCCACTCTACCTACTGCTCACCAAGGCAGCCCTGCCTAGATCTCAGAGGCCATCCTCACTGTAGCCTGACAGGGCAGCATGAAGGCTGAGTTCAGTAGTCCACAGCTAGGCACCTACCCAGCGTGTGAGGAGCTTAGGAGAGCCCTCAACCTCAACCTGCTACTGCAAACAAAGGATGCTGGTGGCCACGCTAGGGTGGGGACAGTCACGGGTGTTTCCGCTTTCTGTAATGTTCTTAAAATTCAACCAGTTTCTGGCTTCTGAGATGGCTCAGTGGGTAAAAGCTCTTTCTGCCAAGCCTAACGGCCTCAGTAGAATCCCTGGAATTCACATGGTAGAGAATCAACTCCCAAAAGTTATCCTGACTCCACAAGCATGCTGTGGTACACACACACACACACAAATAAATAAATAAATAAATAAATAAATAAATAAATAATTTAATAAATCTTTAGCTATATAATTTACAGAAAACAGGCCAATGGATCAAAACAAAAGATAATACATTTGTCTAAGCAATTAGACAAATTAGAGTTTGACATTATTTGGAAATCATTGTACTGGTTCCTTCAATAAATCATGGTTATAAAAAAGGGACAGTGGGAGGGTGCAGACAGGAGTGGGGTCTGAAAGATGGGGCGCTGGAGAGATGACTCAGCAGTTAAGAGCACTGCTCTTGCAAAGGACCCAGGTTCAATTCGAACCACCCACATGGTGGCTACCAATTGTCCACAACTCCAGGTCTATAGGCTCTGATACCCTCCTCTGTCCTCTGCAGGCACTGAAGGATGTGGATGAAATTACATACATGCAGGCAAAGCACAAATAAATAAATAAATAAATAAATAAATAAATAAATAAATAAATAAAAATGCAATAATTGTTTTTTGGTGTTTTTGAGACAGGGTCTCCCTGTAGCCCCAGCTGTCCTGGAATTCACTACGTAGACCAGGCTGGTCTTGAACTATACCAGTCTGCTAGGCTGCATGGAAACCTGTTGCTGTGCTAGTCCCCAAATGGCTCTGCCTCAGGTAGGTACTTCCCTTGTGAACCATGAGCTGTGGAGACCAACCCCAGTGTATCTGGTGCTCTCATAACAGTACTCTGAAGGGGCAGGTGGGGAGGAGCCCCTGGAGGTTGCGAGGAGGGCAGGGGCAGACCACCACGTACCTGTGTGGAAGAATTTCCCTGAGTAGCCCAGGTTGAAGGTAAAGTTTGGGATGTGTGTACGAAGTTCATTCTGCGTATCAAACAGGGCCTAGGATTGGCAGAGGAGACAGGCAGCGGGTAAGGGGAGGCCACAAGCTTTTATTCCACCATTTCAGGGTCTAAGAGATGCCCTGCTACAGCAGGACCAGCTACAAAGCTCATGGAACCCAGCACAAGGCTGAGACTGTAGCTCTGTCACATAGCTCTTGCCTGGTACACGAGGCCTGGGTTCCATGTCCAGCACTGCCAAAAATGCAAATGCGGAATGCTTGCTCAGAGTTAGGGCTGTCAAGCAGTTGCCAGCAGAGCACTCAACCACACAGGAGTATCTTGGCATAGGCTTTTTGTGGCAGCACAGGCTGCACACCCTCAAAGTCAGCCCCTTGCTGCCTCATCCATCAGGCTCTGTATGGCACCAAAAGACCTGAACCATCCAGTCTAGCTCAGCCGGGCATATCTGAGAAGCCTCAGAGCTTCTCTGGCCTTAATTGGTTACAAAAGGAGACCAGAAGATCTCTGCCCTCATGAGACCCTTGGGAGAAGTAAGTGAAATATGGCCTGATGTGTAAAGTGACGAAAAACGAGAGCTACATAACGTCTGCAGTCACTGTCACCGTGTCTCACTGTCTTCATGTGAAGGAATCCCCCTCAGTGGAATGGAAGCCTAGATCAGAGCAAGCATCCTGACTTTCCAAGGACATACTGTGTGCTTACATGGCACTGTTCCTGTGTGGGCATACCTAGTGTCCCACAGGTCTGTGCAATGGGATGACTCTGAGAAACATGCATGCAGTTGTCCTCTGCATTAGGACTGTATAGTTCACAAGGCCGTGAAACCTGCTGTGCTGGATAGCTTTAGTGTCAACTTGACACACCTGGGTTGAGGGAGCCTCAATCGGGGAATTTCCTCTATTGGACTGGCCTGTGGCCATGTCTGAAGGGCATCTTCTTGATGAGTGATGTGGGAGGGCCCAGCTCACTGTGGGTGGTGCCACCCCTGGGCAGGTGGGCCTGTGTTGCATAAGAAAGCAGGCTGAGCAGGAGCAAAGGGAGCAAGCCTGTAAGCAGTGTTCCTCCATGGCCCGTGCTCCAGCTCCTGCCTCCAAGTTCCTGCCCTGAGTTCCTACCTTGGGCTCCCTGATGAACTGTGTGCGACCTGGGAGATGTAAGACAAATAAACCCTTTCCTCCCCAAGTTGGTACTGGTCAGAGTGTTTT